CCTCGTTCATCCATGAGAGCTCTGAGACTTATGCGCAAATGTCTCGTTGATTTTATCACCAGAAGTGAATCCAAAAACACAAAGGACCATGCGGATTTACTGGTCCTAGGTGTTAGTTAACCAGTTGGTATGTCTGATTTAGCCCTCACAAGATTTCTCACGTCATGATTATACAATACAGAGCAGAATATACTTTGGTGTGTTTTGTTAAGATTTAACGAGATCAAATGATGCTGAAGGAAGACGTAGTTCATTGTTATGCTGCGTTTCTCCGACTGATCGTTGTCATGACATCAAATTATTTCAGCAAAACGAGTGGCCGTAAACGATTTTCAGCGCTTGTACCATTAGTAATTGTGGCGAAGATAACAAAAGTGATAGAATGTTGAACATGGTTCATTGGGATGTAGAAATTTGCAGCATTACCTTATCCAGGATACTAGTTACAAAAAATAATTATCACATCTGTGAAGCATAAAAGAGTCCTCGTGAGTGAGAGCAATGTTGCTGCTTACATATTTTTGTATGTGAGTGATTCTTCTATGATAGAACTAATTTTTTTGTTCACATACGGTGTTTCATATTTGTGCATGCTTCGTTAGAAATATCGAAAATATGTTCATTGTGGCATTACTGATAAGAAATACAGGTGTTGATCGAACTTATGCAACGTGACACTCATTTTGAAAATGCATTTAAGCTTCTATTATCATGGGTGTATATGAATAGTTACTGATGAAAAGTATTTATTCCGAACTTTATCTTAGTTCTCTTTACTGAGGCTTAGTATAATGCAACTGATGTACCAGTAACCGTCGTCACAGTCGAGAAATCGTCGGTTTAAATGTCATTCAACCAACAGAAGTAAAAACATAAGTGGATACTAGTACAGATATGGTGCAACTGCCATGGGGCAACATCCTATTTAATGCCGTGGCTCAAAAATACTAAGTGTTGGAAGGAACAACTGTGATGCATGCAAGAGTGTTGCATGAGGTTATTCAATATCTGTATAGAAGTAAAAGATTGAGGAATTTCTGTAAATGGTCTATAGGATTAGCAATAATGTATTAAGTGTATGTAACTAATAACCAATTTTATCATATGCGTGTGTCTGTCTGACTTATTTAGATCATTGTCAGACAATCGGGCTGATAGCCATTGTATGGTACTGCACCTCAACAGTTTTGCACACAATGCCTCTTTCAATGACGACGGATTTCATGGCATAATTAATTTCTTATCTGTGTTTTTTCATCGAATTTATGACTTCGGTGCATTATAAACGCGAGGAAAGTTGGCTTAGTGGTGTAAAATTAACCTGAGTCATGTCAGAGCTAATTACTATAGAAATCTATATTCCATTTGTTCTGAACGGCGGATATTTGATTGTCATAAGAGCAAAACGTTCGTCTATTCCTCACAAGTTCATTGTTAATTATGATTTTAATAGTTATTGCGGATATGACTTTGTTCATCTTCAAGAACAATCCTCAACTCAATCAGCCAATCCTCACATCCGAGTAACTCGAGGGTTTCGTGTGAAAATAAAGCTTGTAACATGGTAATTCAACTCAATATAATATGTTCCGAACTGTTGCTCTCAAGTAGTTGTGAGTTAATTCATATTCATCTGTCCTGGAGATCTCAGGTTCTGGATAGGCCGACTATACCAAATGAAGGACACATGACTTCTCCGTAGCATCATTAGTTTCCCTTTGAGATGCACCATTAGAAAATCATATTTATTCCCGGTGATTCTGCAACATTCCATCATTGGGTAACTTGTAATGCCACTAAACCCTTATACGTGTCGAACAATTGTGCGATTTATCTTGAGTGATAAATTTCCTATGTATACATACTGTAAACTCATTTCTGAACGCAAAGGAACTCGTTATGGTACCTCTCCTCCCCGATCCCTGAGCCAAACTATATTATTATTATTATTATTATTAAAGTGGTAACTTTTCACATAATCTATCTTTATGAAAGTTAAGACAATGTACAACTGGTCCGTTCGAATTGCCGCGTATTACCAGTTGAGATTCAAAATGTAGTACATTAGGTGTTAAACTTGATTCCTCATTTGATAGATATCCATAGGTGACAGAGAGGGAAAAGATGCAATCTGTGAGTTCCGTCACCTGTGACACAGGCATACTACTAATGATTTACTGTCAAGTTTTGAAGAAGTTGTACAATACTTTCTAGCTCTTCAGTTTGATATTTTGTGATCGGTCAGTGTTTCTGCATACGACGAATAGATTAATTTCAAAATAATTTCTTTTTTTGCAATGGTATAGCTCAGTGATTATCAGGTAAATCGAGGACTCACGGTGCTCGGTGGCCGCACCCGTCTCCTACACAAAAATAAAGTCACCTCGAGTCTTTGTACGCACGCGTGTGTGTGTGCGCGCGCGCGTGTGTGTGTCATCACGTATACAATGAAGATGACAGAATGCAGAGAAAAACCATAGACAGTGTAGGTGCCATTTTAGATGAGTTCCGCCACAAATCGATGATTTTTTTAATGCTACGGACACATGTATATCTTACTTGTTGCTGGCCCCTGTACTAAGGGTCAGTTAGAAATGACAGGTCTTAAAAATTCTGCGAGCCAAGCAGATTTTGAACTCTTTTTGGTGTCAGTCTTCTGCAAGTGTGTGTCTCCGTAGTTTTGCTCACTGTGAGAGGTTTAAGGGAATGAAGGCGGACCAGAGACAGAGAGGGAGGGCACGAAACCGCAGCAATTCCGGCGGTCAGTTTGAGTTCATTTGACTGCTGCAAGCCCAAGTCAATTGTGAATCAGACCAGGTTGAGCGACATACACAGTGATATTTAGCCACATAAATGAATCTAAAAGTTTCATGACGCACCCAATTGCCCATCGACGACACAAGAGTGAAATCCAGTTCGTCTAGAGGAGTATTTGCTTTTGGTAAGTAACGAACTTATCCTTCGAACTATAGATTTCAACCGTCTGATTTTGCTCTCCGGATTAATAACGATAAAAATTTGGCTCATATATTTGCCAAATGGTGAATTTTATGTCTCCACTCTGTACTCTAAAACGTCTGAAGTCGGACATCATTCATACATCACGATTATATGAAGCCCGTTTTTCATTACACTAACGATCTGAACTTTACTTTTCTTCATTGCGTAGAAAATTATGCATTTAATCGTCGGGAAAAGTGCGGCTACCAATTAGACTTGGTTAAGGGTAATTATGATGCAGGCAATAGGGTGGTAGTGCCAAGCACACTGTTTAACCTTCACCGCACTGTCAACCTTGGGTCAGAAAATATCCATTGATACACGGTTTACCTAACCTTCGGATCAGTTTGCATAGCAGATGAGAGAAGCCTCAATCAATAATGTTTCGGACGAAATTCTACCGAGTTCGATGATAGCAATGGAACCGGTAATCGTTTATTGGAAACT